TTTAATGTGAAATGACCCAACTATTCTTCTGCCTATCTATTTGCCACAGTCAGGAAAAGATTCGCAGACAGCCCTCAGCCTCAACAATCTTCTTGACCTCATCTATATTAGTCGTCATCTTTTTCTCACCATGCCAAGCTTGGCCACCTCAACCTCTTGGACTTCTCCTGTGCCATAGTGGCCACTGGGCGTAACATTCACCAATGAGGCAAAGAAGACCTTTAACCCTTCCACGTCCATCATCGTTAAATAAAATTTTTTACTCGCTTCCTTACTCATCCTCCCAGATACACACCGGCTTACCCTTTCACGGGTCTAAACTACCATCTGTCACTCATCCTGTCATAGGTCGAGGCAAAACTACTCGTAACAGACACTTCGCTAGGAAATACCCTAAACATGTTTGAGTGATACAAACAAAAATGTAAAGTAAGGATGTCTTCTTTAAAATGTTCAAATGTACCAAGAAAAGACATGCCATGATATTGGTCTTGCTACGCATAATTAAAGACAAGAAATTAAATGTAATTGATCAGTACAAACGCAACAAAAGTGCAATGTATGCTGCAAATAAGAGAGTTGGTGATGCCCTCCTGCCGATAAACTGTAATGTCTACATTTGGCAACTATCCTAATCCCCTCGTATGTAGATAGAATCCTAGCAACTGAAGCCATACTAGCTGTAGATTATAAGAAACAGTTTTGTTGCTGATCTGCGCAGCCTACCTGTTTGCAGACATTGATTTCGGGAACACAAGATGCCACCCCCATTTTTGTGCAAGTAGGATGATTTCAAGGCAGATACGGCTAGGCAGTTCGAAAGTGTGAATAACATGGTATGTGGGAATGAAAGCAAAGCATTTTCAATACATAGCTGTGTTGCATGACATCACGATTGCGCCATTATTCCCACGACTAGCTGTGGACATGCGCGATGACCAGCACAGTCTTTCCACTCCAAATACATTTCCTATATCAGCAAACTATATCAATGCACCAATGATTCGTCAATAATCTTATTTATAAAAGGCAATTCCGGTGTAGTACTAGACTGCTCAAAGGATAAACTTGACATTTATCTTTAGGAAGGTGATCCGCTTCACGTCATCATGCTTTATTGAATTTCACGCTCTTTTGCCCTAATATTTTCATAGATATGTATTAGACGTTTTAGAAATGATCTAGTCGGAGGTAACTTTGCTTATCAATCGTCGCGGATGTTGTGTATGTCCTCTGTAACTCGAGAGCGACTTTGACGTACAGTTAATTTATTGCTTTAATGATTAGCGAATCGCCTTTTGATTGATTGATAAATAAACGATGCCGCCTTAGCAAAAGAACGGCTTTTACTTTGTAGCATTAGAAGGTATGCGCTTTGTCGTATGATTGGTACGTACACGAGAAATCTGTTAATCTAAGGGTGTTTTCAAGAGGGCTATATCCATACTATGGATTGCGACAAAGGCAGCAAGAACAGTGGTCTTACTGTAAAATGATATTCTTGGTGGCTACTGCTGAAGAAGTTGCATTAATAAATGGTCCTTAATGTGCTGCCGGCCCAAAAGCATAAAAATTGGGTTTTTTAATGTAATAAGCATAACCATACACACATCTCCAATTATGTCCATTCAACACATGTCTTGGCATTTTGCGGCTGTTTTTGCTGCAATCCCGGATTGGATGGAGGTTATGTCGAATTGCTAGCACTTCTTCTCTAATCGCTGTCATTACAAGTCGAAGTACGCACCAATCAGGAGTAATGATTACAAACAGGCGCTATGACTAAGCCGCCGCCGAATGGGCTGGTGGGTGGGTGAACTGGGTTTGATTGGTCTGTGCTCTCCAAAACCTTGGCTCGTTGCTGACTCATCAAAGGTGATTGATCAGTCGATAGATAAGAGCATCAGCTAAGCAACCGTTGCCTATTGGTTATCTTGCCAATCAACTGAGGGATGCGAATCAAAGCCAAGATAAAAGTCTCACTCACAGACAGAGAGAGCTGGATTAATGAAAAGAAATTAAGACAAGCAGCTTATTGTTCATGAGATGACTGGTTAATCTAAACGATAGTAAATTTAAGGCCTCTTTTAGCTTCCATTTCTTCCTATTATAAGCAATCATAATTTCCTTGTATGTCAGCCTCAAGATAGATGGGTAGATGCAAATGATACGAACGCATTAGCGATGGTTTAATTCCCCACAATGTTCAAGGAAGATTTTCCTAAATGCGAAGGGGGGAAATTGACAAAATACCATTTTGGTGCGTTGAGAAGAAAGTGCAAATATCTGCACCAAATGATCCAAAAACCACACCCGTCCCTTCCTTCCTACCGCAATAATAAACAATCCC